AGGAGAAATATTTTTGAATTAGGCTGATATATTTGAAATCATGTGGAAAGCTTTATCAAATAAAAATTAATAACTATATTTTATTTATATACATATGATTTAAATGTTATAAAAGTTTCAACCTCTAGGGGAGGGCAAAATAAGTTGCTGAATATTTCTTAAGCAGAACCAGATTATTCAGCAGCGGAATTTTAAAAACAAAAGCCCTCAGGAAGCCTGCTTTTCAAAGAGGCTGGGGGTCCGGGGGAGGGCAGCATCTATACTTCATAGGTCAAATGTATAAGTTTGCTTGCTTTGCTTTTTCAACAAAGATGCTTACTTTAATTACTTACTAGATTAGCTTTTTAAAATATAATCAAGATCTCATATAAATTTAGTTATATGAGAAGCCAATATTTTTATAAGCAATTGAGTCTAACAAAGGTCAAGGTAAAAATTTGCATTCCTGAGACCTCCCATAACCCCTCTGTGTTTGCAAATGAGCACTAGCCAAAAAAGAATGCTGTTTAAAACTAAATTTTAAGCTTAAAAAAATGAGAAATTTTCAACTCTCTTCCACTACTATTTACAGGGTAAACTGAAGGTTATTACTCAAGCATTAAAACTAATCATTAATAAAGTCACCATAACTAAAAAGAGAGTCACTTAAAATGTAGGCATGGCAGTATTAACCAGTATCTGAAAAGCAATCATGCTTGTTACTGTATTTAAAAGAAAGAAAGAAAAAAGTTTTTAAAAGAAAAGTCCTAAATGTGGCCTAGGAATTACTCTGGGAGGAAATAAAGAAAGATTTCCTTCAAATATTTAGAAAAATGAAATTAAAAGCCAATGTATTAGACTTCACAAAGAAAGGTAAATAATTTGCATTTTGCCTCCCTAAACAAAGCTTATGTACATATACTCAAAGACTGATAGCAGGAATTCAATTAATGTCATTTACTGCCAACATACAAGGACAAATGAAGTTAAAAAATAAGCCTTATTTCAGACTAATTTTAATTGGCAAATTGAAATAAGTGAATATTCAGGGGAACTTAGTTGTACTAGGCAGGAACCTATTCCTCCATTGCAGGATTTCCAAAAGCCAAAATATTGTACAGCAAGCAAAAAATGTCCCCCTTACATGTTAAAACAAAAATGGGGGAATAGTGGAGAAATATCCTGTAAGTAAACTACATCAAGCCTTAATTACTTTGAATTTTTTTTCACTTTAAATTTTTTCACTTATAATGCTTATGGCAAAACACCCATGGAATTACACTGGTGTCAGAATAAGCCAAAGGAAAATGGTCAGGTTAAATGGAATGACCCTGAGACTAGTTTATGGAAGAGTTCCTTTATTAACCTTTGGTCGAGGATATGCTTGTATATTTCCAGAAAACTCCTCCAAGCCCGTGTGGAAACTTCAACAATGGATCTGAGAGAGGAACTGAACAGACTACTCCAACCACAGATAGCAGTAGCACCAAGCAACACG